ACTCACCGAGACAAGAACGGAGTACACTCACCGAGACAAGAACGCAGTACACTCACCGAGACAAGAACGCAGTACACTCACCGAGACAAGAATGGAGTACACCTGTCTCTTATACACATCTAGATGTGTATAAGAGACAGGTCCCATGTAGAGCAGCTTTCTCTGTTGTTTGAAGTTTGTTAAAGAATTGAAGACGAGTCGCTCAGGCAGGTCCGTGAGACGCACGTTCTTCTGCAGCCACTCCAGCTTCTCAGTGTTGTCGCGCTCAGCCACGGCTTCATTTACCTGATTAGTGAATAGTCATCTTATTTTTTATTATGATACTATTATATGATATAGTACATAATATAGATTTTATGTTATACAAGTTGATAATGTGAATAGTTTCTCAGTGCTGTCTCGCTCAGCCACGGTTTCATTTACTTCATATTCATTGTCTCACTGATTAGCCAATAGTCTTGTTGTTTTTAATCTAAGAAGTTCAATGCAAAATATAGTCATCAGATAAGTCATCTTATTTTTTTAAATATGGTATTATTATGATATAATACATAATATAGATTTTATGTTATATAAGTTGATAATATAAATAGTTTCTCGGTGTTGTTTCACTCCGCCAGCTTCATTTACCTAATTAGTGGATAGTCAGCTTATTTTTTACTATGATACTATTATATGATATAATATATAATATAGATTTTATGTATTATAAGTTGAATATTATTAATTTCTCAGTATTTTTTCGCTCAACCAACAGTTCGTTCTTCTATACATTTTTCAAGTAATCAATTATTAATAGTCATTATTATTATTTTGATCATTATTACGGTATTGTTATTACATTAATATTAATTCTCATTATTATATTATAAATTAATATAATGATAAAACTGCATGTATTAAAATATCACCAGTTTTTCGGTGTTTTTTTCGGTGTTAGTGCAATACAAAGTACACTCAGAAAAATGTGTGGTTCGTAGAAGATTACAGTATACAATGATATACATGTAAAGTTAAGCACAATATCCAAAAAATATAACTCAGTACTCACTGCAGTGAGTGACAGAGAGCGCATTTTCTCGTCGACGAAAACGTGAAGTCACGGACGGACAGACAGACAGAAGGACGGACAGACAGACGGACANACCTGTCTCTTATACACATCTAGATGTGTATAAGAGACAGGAGTGAGAGAGCGCATTTTCTCGTCGACGAAAACGTGAAGTCACGGACGGACAGACGGACATGTCGAGCACAATAGTGCATTTTTTCCATAAATGAGAAAATGCGCTAAAAAAATCAATGGAAATGAATCAATTAGACATTATTCACCTGCTGGCAGAGATTGTTGGACTCCTGGAGCGCGTCGACGGTGTTCTGGTGGTCAGGGTGCTGGCGCGGGGTGTGCTTCAGAAGCTGTCATTATATTATATTTAATTAGAATATTTCATTTTCTGTTTTTCTTATTATAAATTAACACATTATCATGTAGATTTATTATTGTGAACTAATACATTATTGTTTATATTTATAAATAGAAACTGATACACTATTATTTGGATTTATTATTCTGAACTAATACATTATTATTTAGATTTATCAATGTAAACTAATACATTATTATTTAGATTTATCAATGTAGACTAATACATTATTATTTAGATTTATCAATGTAGACTAATACATTATTATTTAGATATAAACCTTCTGGAGAATTAACAAATTTAATATCTTATATCGACGATATTTCTTAATAATCCATTTAAAACATCATAATGTACTGGTTTCTGACAAGGGTTTATTGATGGTCGTCAATTCTGTGCTTATAATCGATTCAATTTAAAGAATTTATTGTAATATAATTAGAATTCAGATGAAATTAAAAAGGATTACTACGTATTCTTTCCCAAAAAATAAATATTGAAGAATGTATAAAATAAAAGGAATAAACGCAAATTAATGAATACTATGGTAATAAGTACCTAGTGTATGTATTTGGTCAATTAATTAATCTTGGTAATGAGTACGTAGCGGGTATTCGGTCACCACTTAATACCTTGGTAATGAGCAGCAGGTATTCGGTCACCACTTAATACCTTGGTAATCAGCAGCAGGTATTCGGTCACCACTTAATACCTTNCATACAATACGGTATATACGTATTAATACAGGCAATTGTAAGTCATACAATACGGTATATACGTATTAATACAGGCAATCGTAAGTCATACAATACAGTATATACGTATTAATACAGGCAATTGTAAGTCATACAATACGGTATATACGTATTAATACAGGCAATTGTGAGTCATACAATACGGTATATACGTATTAATACAGGCAATCGTAAGTCATACAATACAGTATATACGTATTAATACAGGCAATTGTAAGTCATACAATACGGTACCGTATACAGTATACGTATTATTACAGGCAATTGTAAATCATACAATACGGTATATACGTATTAATACAGGCAATCGTAAGTCATACAATACAGTATATACGTATTAATACAGGCAATCGTAAGTCATACAATACGGTATATACATATTAATACAGGTAATTGTAAATCATACAATACGGTATATACGTATTAATACAGGCAATTGCAAATCATACAATACGGTATATACGTATTAATACAGGCAATAGTAAGTCATACAATACAGTATAATCTAAATCATCCAAAGCATCTCATACGTATTAATACAGGGAATTGGAGATCATACAATACAGTATAGTATTCTAAATCATCAAATACAGTAAATTTACCGATAAATAATTCATCATGTAAAAGCCAATTTATCTGGGGGAAATAAAACGGTGAAAGGTAATGTAAAGTGCGAAAGTTAATTCATGAAAATATTTAGTTAAAATAAAACTGGAAATCTCAAAATTTATCAAATTAAATTAATGACTTAATTCATCAAATCAGATTTATGTCGTGCATACCGGTCTAGTACACCAGTATGATACTACTGCTGGCAGAGCACGTCACACAGTCTCTGTCACGACGCACGTTACCTGCTGGCAGAGCACGTCACACAGTCTCTGTCACGACGCACGTTACCTGCTGGCAGAGCANTCCCACAGACCAAAAAATACGTTGATTAGCGTAGATATTTTATTTGTGTTACACGAGACATGCAATATCCATGCTAATAATCCCCCCAATAACCCCATTCATCCCCATCCGTATTCGTCTAAGCATCCCTATTTATACCAACACCCCTATTTATACCAACACCCCTATTTATACCAACACCCCTACTCAGCACAACATCCCTATTTATACCAGCATCCCTATTTATACCAGCATCCCTATTTATACCAACACCCCAATTTATCCCAATTTCCTCCCCAATAACCCCACTCATCCCCATCAGTTGAGCGCGTCACCTCTCACAGAGGAGCGCAGAGCCGCGGAGCTGTACGCTGCAGAACCTCATGTAGGCCGTCAGTCCGCGCACCTACAGTCATATCATACATATTAATACAGGCAATTGTAAGTCATATATTACAGTAAATTGTAAATCATACAATACAGATGATTGTATATCATGCAAAACAGCCAATTGTACATCATACATATTAATCTTATACGTATTAATACAGGCAATTGTAAGGCATACAATACGGTATACACGTATTAATAGAGGCAATTGTAAGTCATACAATACGGTATATACTTATTAATACAGGCAATTGTAAGTCATACAATACGGTATATACGTATTAATACAGCCAATTGTAAGTCATACAATACAGTATAATCTAAATACAGTATCCATTACAGTGAATTTACCGATAAATAATTCATCCCGTTAGAGTAAATTTATCCTGAAAAATAAAACAGTGCGAGGTAAAGAAAAACGCGAAAATAAATCCTTGAAAATATTTAGTTATAATACAACTGGAAATCACAAAATTTATCAAATCAAATTAATCATTCAATTTATTAGATCAGATTTATTTCGTGCATGCCGGTCATGTACATCAGAATAATAATTAAAAAATAGAAGTTGAGCAACTTGTAAAATCTGAACAATAGTGGCGCCCAGAGACAAAAAATGCTTTTATTAGCGTCGTTGTAGATAATGTTTTATTTGTTACATGAAACATGCAAACTCAAGAATATGCCTCTCTGACGTCACACAGTCTCTGTCACGACGCACGTTATCTGCTGGCAGAGCACGTCACGTCACACAGTCTCTGTCACGACGCACGTTACCTGCTGGCAGAGCACGTCACGTCACACAGTCTCTGTCACGACGCACGTTACCTGCTGGCAGAGCACGTCACGTCACACAGTCTCTGTCACGACGCACGTTACCTGCTGGCAGAGCACGTCACACAGTCTCTGTCACGACGCACGTTACCTGCTGGCAGAGCACGTCACCAATCATGACGACGCGGCCGTCGGCGCTGTTCGCGTGACGTACACGTAACGCCCTGAAAATATACGACATGTTCAGTGTATCATCGTTACAATAGCAGGATATCAAAAATGCCAAATTATATTCATATCTATTATAGGTATTCATATCATATACCAGTATTCGTTTCCATTATATTCATATCATAAATTCATATACAATTTTATATTCATATATTCTTTAATATCTGTATTAATAAGCATACATTGTTAGTTGATAATAATCAAGAAATTACCAGTATATGATTCTTAGGCAACATTTAGAATATTTTAACGTACGAGTTTTACAACAGATTCTTACTTTCAAAAAGTGATACCTATTTATAAATTGCAGGTATTCACGTACTGATATTTACGTACTACTGTACATATTTACGTAGAGATAATTACGTGCCTACTGTACATATTTACGTGGTGATATTTACTTGCTGTACTTTTTTATGTAGTGATATTTACGTACTGTACGTATTTACGTAGTGATATGTACATACTGTACGTATTTACGTAATGATATTTACGTACTATTCGTAGGCACATAGTGATATTTTATCAAATAAGTTAATAAAAATGAAAGCTAAGAATGAACGTTATGAATGAAATGAACTTAGATGTTTGCGTCAATGAATGGATGTACAGCCATACAAAATACAATTGCAACTCTAAATCAAATAGAATCAAATTAATTTGAGGAGAAGTGCTTGAACATAATAACAGCGTAATTTATACTTATTACCTCAAACAATAAATTTGATCGACTTCAGTCGACTCGGAAATTTAGAGAAAATAATACAACTGAGTTGGCTTAACACCGTCATATTTTCGAAGCAATATCACTACAGCTACACGAGACAACAACTTCATAATGACTATGCATGCAAGGCTGCCTCGTGAACAGCAGCATGTGTTCACGAGTTCAGCAAGAACACCGTAATTGTTTAGCAAGAACACCGTAATTGTTCACTTGATACATGTAATAATTAGAACACATGTTGATCTTTAGTCAACTGTAGCATGAGAGAGCGGCTGGGATAACTAAACCTATAATTCAGTTTAAATTCCAAAATTTCTGAATATAACTATGATTATTTACTACGCGGAGAAGATGTATGCATCTTCAAAGCGATTCAACAATGAGGAAGCTATACGGTTATCAGTTGGGCTTTTTATATGAATCTCATTTTAAACGGAACAATCACCATTTTTGGTTGAAATCGAAACATCATTTTCTGCATAGTTAACCCATAAAAATCATTAAGTCGAGCTAACTAAACCCAAAGAATTGATCTGTTTAACAAAATCACACCTATTCACCATTACCAACATCGGCATTTCATCACCAAAAAAAGTTTACTTGGCAATGAAAAGCTTGCAACCGCGAATAATTAGAGAATCTCATTAAGAATACGTCCTGGGAAATAGGTATACTAGGTACAACCCTCAACACTCAGGGAAATAAATAGGTTATATTGTCCTAATGTTGACCCACTAGCTTACCCACAACACGAGAAAGAAGAAGATGCAACCAGGATTCACCTTTTTTTTTGCCAAACTATGTCAGGGCCTATACCTTCAAAAAAGTTAAGAGATCGTAAGTTCATCAGCCAATCATTGACGGCTTTTCAAGCAAAATCCACCAATCATAGACAAGAAAATAGAGCGTAAGTACTTACGTTCACTTAGCGAGTTTTGAAAGTATGGCCCCAGAGGATGATACGAACAAAGGCAGGAAGTACGTCGCTATTTGGACTATAACCCTCTCTTTTCTTTGAGTGTTGATACAAACGGCGCTAGCTAAGCAATCACGAACACTCGGTACTTCCACACAAGCTCGTCTGAGTTACAGACCACTAATCTGTGAGTTACAGACAACTAATCTGTGAGTTACAGACCACTAATCTGTGAGTTAAAGACCACTAATCTGTGAGTTACAGACCACAAATCTGTGAGTTACAGACCACTAGTCTGTGAGTTACAGACAACTAATCTGCGAAGTTACAGACCACAAATTTGTGAGTAACAGACCACTAATCTTTGAGTTACAGACAACTAATCTGAGTTACAGACCACAAATTTGTGAGTTACAGACCACTAAAGCAACGGATTCTTAGCAATGCCAAATATTATCCTAGAATTAATATACCTAGCAAGGGACTTTAAATTAGTGAAATGGATTAAATTGGTGGAGTTGAAAAAATCAACAAGGCAATCTAACTTGATTTCTGGCAAACAATTAAAGCTCTTATGGACTTAGACGAAAATTACACATAATTCTGTCCAATAAAGATGGGTATCTACAATTGTTAATTTCTTATCGAGACTAAAATATATTACGAAGTTTAATTATAGTAATAGTATGAGAAGAAAGCTACCAACATAGTGAGATTGACTCACTCCACAACACTACGGCAACAAAAAATTTCTTATGAAATCAACTGCATCTCTTATATCAATATACGGTATATAATATAACAGAACAAACCTCAGATCCCCTCAGATTGAAGGTGACGAAATTAAACAAGTCTTGTATAGTTATAAAAATAATTATAGAAATGTTTGAGACGCAATCATCTTGGCAGCATGAAAAAAATATACAGAAAAAGCCCCCGTGTTTAGCTGGGATTTGTGAAGCCTTAGAAACACACACACAACTTACATCTCGAAACTTTAGCTAGAATTTATGAAGCTTGAGAACATACATCACACAACGTACATCTGAAGACGCGCAATTACTGAAACGACATCTCGAATAAACACTCAAACACTTATAAATAAATATTTCACATAAGTAGAAGCAGAAGACCTATTCAAATTCAGGTTTATAGCCGCATTTCTTAAGTAGGAATTGCTCCACATACATAAATAATCGAAGCATATATTAACATAGAATAACTTAGCTCTTTTAAATTGCAATTGAGAAAACTGTGATCGGAATGTCATAAGTTGATCGAAAGCGAGCACAGAACTGTGCAAAAATTGTTCTCAATGTTGAAGAAATAAGAGTTGAAAAAATGTTAAAGTTAAGACAAGTGAACAAGCTTAAAGACAAGCTTAAATTAGAGGTTAAGACAAGTGAACAAGCTAAATCTTGTAAGAGTATTGAGAATAGAATATTGAACGAGTGTGAATGAAAATAGTTTTAATCGTTCATAAAACATAAATTTAAAGAGTACCATACATACATTTGTGACAATTAACAGCAGGCATGTGATATATACTCGTACTAATTAGAATGATTCACATTTCAATATTTTACTCGGCTGAATAAAAAATCTATTTCCATTAAGTGTATATGAATTTTTACCTTTTCCAGAAATGTAATTCATTTTCAGTGATAGAATAAAAGATAATGAATTTGTAACATTATTGATAGTTTCACAATAGTACACGAATATGAGTAACCAATGAGAGCGCAGAGTAAATACGACAGTACTCACAGAATAGTACAATATTACCAAAGAATAACGTAGGTTTTTTAGTCGAGAGTTCCTCATAAGAAAATAAGTCACGACATCTTAAAGCACAACAGTGGGTTAGTTTCTGTAGGAAAATTTTCTAAGGTAGCCAAAAACTTTAGACCAAATCCAAATTGGAAACACACACAAAAAAAAAAAAAAACAGAAAATTGCAAGTAGGACAGTATAAATACGCTATCGATAAAAAAAATTTAGAAGCAAAGTGAATACTGTTTGAGTACTTGAAACCCAATAAAAGCATAGAGTAAGTGTGTAATATAATAAAATTGCTCCACATCAAGAGAAAACACAGGCCAACAAAGCTCAAGAAAAGATATGAGTAGATAGAGAAAGATATTAAAAAGATAAAGAGATAGTAAGAACAGAATACTTAATGAAGCATGACTCCGATGGCTCTTCCAGCCATTGTAGTAACCACATAACTAATAAAAACGATTGATCCTAAGCATACATTGTAATACTGATTATAATATTAATCTGACAGAGATGCCATAATCTCAGTAAAGTATTCTAATAAACATTAAAGTGCTGATTAGTCTGATTTGATACACGAGATAAACGGTTTGTCTCAGAGAATAAATTTGTAAGAGATACCGTCGGAGTTACAACAGCGCGGGTTTCCAAGTCAGAATTCGTATTCCAGAATCCTTCTTCGATTCAGTTATGAGATTTGGCATAGTAAAATATAAGTACAAATTTAATTTTACTCCTTCCATAGACGCTTGATGAAAAGCAAAGTTCTGCTTTAAATGCAATATACTATTAAATGTTCTATTTTTGCAATACCTAAGACGCTTCAGACTGAGAAAGCATTCAGCATATGCACTATGCAGAGTTGTAACGACACCAAGAAAAGAGGGGCACTTCGGAAGGTGAAAAGAATGTTTGAACAATTCATCTGAATTTTAGATAAATAATATGTTTGAACAATCCATCTGAATTTTAGATAAATAATCAAGAAACAAAATCAACTTTCGTGGGGACATTCAACAACTTAGACAAACATACGAAAAACTTCGTTGAGACTCGAAACATGCTTCATATTAAAGACCAACTACGAAGTGATCGAGACCGAAGACAGTGAACACCTCGAAGAAAGATGACAGTAAAACCAAATATGAACAATATCGAGATAGATAACAGTGAACACCTTTAATAAAGCCTACAGTGAACGTCGTCGCGCCACATAACATAGAACGCGTTGAAGAAAGCTTACAGTGAACACCGTCCAGCCATCCGACAGACAAAATCTTGGAGACATCAGACAGTGAACATCAGGGAAATAGCTAACAGTGAACAGTATTTGTATATTCTGCATCAAATTTGATGTAGTTAGAAGGAACACAAAGCTTAAGAAGAAAGTCGAGGAACGAGTGATCCAGAGAGTAGTAGCAGCAGCAGTAGCGTAGCGAGGCCGCTCCTGTGGACAATAAAGCGTCAGCTAAAGCGCCACGAATCTTTTCAATTAAACACCAAAACACAATCAAGCTTCCCGTGCGCCTGCGGGCGGTACTATCAAAAATAGTTACTAGCGTGTAACTCCGGCAGACACACAATGACAGTTCCTAAAACTAAACCCAGCAATCACAGACGAAAAATCAGTTGCTATGCGTACGAAGGCCGCTATATACATCAAAGAATTTTGATAATATAGGTACAGCACATGTGCCCCCTAAGCCCCGAATTATATAGCGTAAAAATTATCAAAAGTGAACCTTCTTTCAAAGCAAGGGCAAAAAGAAACAACTACCACTCTTATAAAGCATAAAAGATAAAACAATCTATAATTGTACCATCAAATATTGTTCCCGCTTCATCACACGCAAAAATTATACGTCTAGATCAGACATCTTGATACGCTTGACGTATAAACTTCATGAGAAAAGAGATTCCAAATATCACACGGACTGAACAAGAGAATGACCTAAAGCTATCGTAAATTCTATAGCAACATCGAGCCTAGTTCTCCAATAAAATCATCAATTGACGATAAAGAGGTGTGTTTGAGCAAAGAAAAGAGTTTGTGTAAAGATAAGTGGGTAAAGTTAAGATAAGATCAGGCCATGCAAAATTAGCTGGAAAACAAGTATTGAGCCACGCGTCAAACCAAGTTGGTTCCATTAAATGACGTAGATGAAAAGTGAACTAAATTTCAATTTTTAATTTTCGAATAGCTGGGATAAATTATTGAAGTCATTAACTGAAGAAAAAAATATAAGTCAGTACTCACTGCAGTGAGTGACAGAGAGCGCATTTTCTCGTCGACGAAAACTTGAGGTCACGGACGGACGGACAGACAGACGGACTAGAGATTCAAAATATCACACGGACTGAACAAGAGAATGACCTAAAGCTACCGTAAATTCTATAGCAACATCGAGCCTAGTTCTCCAATAAAATCAACAATTGACGATAACGAGGTGTGTTTGAGCAAAGAAAACAGTTTGTGTTAAGATAAGTGAGTAAAGCTATAAGATAAGATCAAGCCATGCAAATTAGCTGGAAAACATGTATTAGGCCACGCGTTAAACCAAGTTTGTTCCATTAAATGCACGTAGATGAAAAATGAACTAAATTTCAACTTTTAATTTTCGAATAGCTGGGATCAATTACTATTGAAGTCAATAACTGAAGAAAAAAAGGACAGAACGCATGCTGCAGAACATTAGAGAATGCGCAACATAGAATAGAATAGAAGTGTCGGCGTTGAAGAAATAGGCCCATGGCCTGTTGCCGATTCTTGAACTTTTCGTGACTTGATTAACATGCGATGGAAGACGGGGCAATAAGAGTGTTAAGCAGAATGGATATAAAAGTGGCCTTACAACAATGGAAATTAAATTGTGTTTGTGGCTAGAGCAAAAGAAGTATATCAAATAAATAGATAAATAAAACTAAACTTAATGAATAAAGCCATTCCCAGTAGGTCATTAGAGACGAGACGATCAAATGGTCTTCAAACTTAATTACAAACTCAAACTTTGCACCGGATAAAAGAAACGTGAAATTTATCCTATAGCAAAAAATAATGAAAAATAGCATATTTATCATAATTAACAATAAAAAATCGTCTCTGAGAACTGTTCTAGGTTTGATCGCTGCCTCTGAATTTAATAACTGGTCTGCAAAGTATATATTATAGAAAAAGATACATAGTACCAAACTTGAGAGGCAGCGTATCAGGCTCAAAAACGAAACGATCCTTGAAATTGTGCGTTGAACACAAGCGTGCATGAGCGCTGAAAACGGCGAGGATTTTAGAAAAATTTGTGCCAGGAGGAAGTATTTAATGCAAGCAGCTCGGCCACAGAATATAATACAGATTTATGAACAATTTGCACCGAGAACAACTAGGCGTCTGGAACAACGTGGCATTGAAGAAAAATATGGAGGGAAAAGTGCATGATATAACATAGGAAGGAAAAGATGACGACAATAAGACAACATTGATGAAAAGATAGTGCTTGAAAAAGATGGCAGGGCGTAAATATTAAATAAATAATGATAGCATTGAGAAAACTGGCGCCGAAAAAATAAGACGTGACAAATATGAAACTGTGAAAATACTGTGTTGAAAAAGATAGCGACTAATGCAAGAGGTTTTCGAAAATGAGACGGCAGTAAAATATATGGAAGAGTGATAAATAGAATAAGATTAATTAATAAGTAGCCAATACGTGCAAAGAAAACGAAGTTGCAAAATCAATAGCCGGCAACACTATGAAACCCTTCCCATAAATACTAATATTAAACCGAATATTTCAACACGAAATTGCGGCGCCATGAAATAGCGAAACAAGTTAGCTACTAACAACAACAAACTTGTTATAACCATAAGCTCTTTACCCGTGAATTGTAGCTTACCCATGAATCAGTTCGTAACTCAAACAACAAACTCGAAACTCAAAACAAAAGAACGGTTACTCACAATAAAAAGATTGTTACTCAAACGCCACTCACAAGAGGTTACTCATAACAATAAATCCATTACTCACAACGCCACTCACAAGCAGGTTACTCATAACAATCAATTCATTACTCACAATCAGGTTACTCACAACAAATGAATTACTCACAACAAATGCATTACTCACAACAAATGAATTACTCACAACAAATGAATTACTCACAACAAATGAATTACTCACAACAAATGCATTACTCACAACAAATGCATTACTCACAACAAATGAATTACTCACAACAAAGGTTGCCGTCGTCCAAGTCGACGCCGAAGTCAGCAGCGGCAGCGGCGATCTGTGATACCTGCGCGGCGAAGCTGTCGCCGCCCCCGCCAACGACCGCCTGCGATCAGTGATGTGTGTGTGGGCTACGTGTATATAACATAACATAACATAATATAACATAATATAACATAACATAATATAACATAACATGACATAGTGATCTCGGCGCTGAATTGTAGGCCTGATGTGGTCTGTCGCCGATTCTTTTCTTTGCGGCCTGTCGCCGATTCTTTCGTGCCTTGTTTCTATACTTATATATCAATGCTCCTTGTAACTTGAGAATAAATGTTTATTGCATTCAAAACGTCGTTAATAAACTAGAACTACTTCCTGAAATATGCCTTTCGATCTACCACCGTCATCTGAAGAATTCTCCAACTCTCTGATAATTTAAATCAACGAATTCTCTGGTCACTAATCGCACGCGTATATATCAGCAAATTCTCCCCTCTAAAACTAACTTATATACACGTGTAGGTACCTATATAAAAATCCGGTAGTTTGGAAATAGATAGCTGGGGTCCAATTCAAAACTAAAAGGGTTTTAAACTAAAACTAAAGGGTTTTCAAAACTAAAAGGGTTGGTCGGTTAACGTTGTGCACCTCTGCATGATGATGCTGGTGGATTTATCCAGCACGGTGCGAGAGACAGTCTTGTGAGTTTGTCTCAGGAGGTTTCTCTGCCCTCCATGTTGCAGAGAAACCCCCAGAGATATTCAGAGAGATCTTCATCATTTGGACTACATTGGACTAACAACCACGACATTGTGACCCTCTCACCAGCCATCTACTGTCTGGATATACTACCTATACCTGTGCTAAACGCACCTACACCCCCAACACACCCCACACACCTCTCAGACAACACCACCACATACCCTCGACCCTACAGCTCTGGAGCGACTCCCTGTCGGTTGTGTCATACTTGAGCGAGGGGGGTCTCTTGTAAAAATGAGACCGAGGAACCACAACAACAACAACACCCCACACACCTGCACATAGTTACTAGGGAAGACCCCCTCGCTGGCGCCTAGTCGCCCCCGCCACCAGGCCGCGTCCTCGCGGTCCAGCACGACGATGACGTCACCAGCGCTGAACGTGAGCTCGTCGGGGTTCACGGCCGTGTAGGGGTATAGCGCCTCCACACGCTCTGATATATTCAGATAATCTCTTATATTATACGAAGGAAACGTGTATTATTAAAATAATGAACATTACTAATCAACATCAACGTGAGCTCGTCGGGGTTCACGGCCGTGTAGGGATATAGTGCTTCCACACGCTCTGATATATTAATATAATAAATCATGTTATATCAAACAAAACGTGTATTATTAACATAATTAACATTACTAATCAACATCAACGTGAGCTCGTCGGGGTTCACGGCCGTGTAGGGGTATAGTGCCTCCACACGCTCTGATATATTCATATAAGCTCTCATGTTATAACGATAAAACGTGTATTATCAACATAATTAACATCATTAATTATAATCATGTTTAATATAATGTTATCTCTTATATAATATCAAAAACGTGTATTATTAACATAATTACCATTACTAATCAACATCATGTTAATATAATGTTATCTCTTATATATCAAGAAACGTGTATTATCAACATAATTAACATTACTAATCAAAATCATGTTTAATATAATGTTTTCTCTTATATGGTAGGTACCTATCAGCAAAACGTATATGATTAACATGATTATTAATTAACGTAATTCATCAATATCATGGTAGGTTATCAGAAATAGGTACATTTGTTTAACTCATCAAACAACTAATTAGCATCATGATCAATCCTCAACAAAACAACTTGTTTAACCCTCTACCACCTGACATGAGTAACCGAAGCAATATTGTCACGCGCCTACTTCCCAAAAAGGATACGTTCTAGTGAGCGCAAAATGACTTGCACTGATGGTTGCCGCCACGTACTTCCTCGCGGTCCAGCACGACGATGACGTCACCAGCGCTGAACGTGAGCTCGTCGGGGTTCACGGCCGTGTAGGGGTATAGTGCCTCCACGCGCTCTGATATATTCATATAATCTCTTATACTATCTTATACTATATCAATATAGCGTGTATTGTTAACATAATTAACATTACTGATCAGCATCAACGTGAGCTCGTCGGGGTTCACGGCCGTGTAGGGGTATAGTGCCTCCACGCGCTCTGATACATTCATATAAGCTCCCATCTTATATCAAGGAAATGTGTATTATTGCCATAATTAACATTACGTACCGGTACTAATCAACATCATGTTTTATATAATGTTATTTCATATATGACATCAAGAAATGTGTATTATTAATATAATTAACATTATTAATTACTATCATCTTTAACATAATGTTATCTTTTACATAATATCAGCTGAAGATATATGATTAACATAATTATTAATTGACTTAATTAATTAATATCATAGTAGGTTATTAGGAATACATTTGTTTATCTCATCAAATAACTAATTAACATCATGATTAATCATCAACCAAACAGCTTTTTAATAGTCAATAAGAAGGATTCGTCAAGTGATCATCAATAAAGATTCATTAGAAGGATCGCTACATCACACACACGTGTTCTGCAGCTAAGAAAACACACATGAGAACATATATAACCTGTCACCCTGATGATAGTTTAGCCTTTTACATACTTGAAGAAGTTTCACCGAGTATTAGTAGCCAGGTTGTCGAGTGCTTGGCGTGTCGAGTAGAAATAAGGTAGAAATTTCTACTCGACATCGAGTAGTATCGAGTGGGAAATAACAAAGGCTTGGCCACATGGGCATTGAAGCTTGATATATGTTAACTATATTAAATAATTACGTTAATTAATAATTATGTTAATCATATATCTTTAGCTGATATGATATAAGAGATAACATAGGTTAGGTTGGAGCGCTCTATATTACTAGATCGTTAAGAGCTGACACTACACTAACCTACTACACTACACACTCCCCCTACTTCCCACACTACACACTCCCCCTACTTCCCTCACTACACACTCCCCCTACTTCCCTCACTACACACTGCCCCTACTTCCCTCACTACACACTCCCCCTACTTCCCTCACTACACACTCCCCCTACTTCCCTCACTACACACTCCCCCTACTAACGTACTCCCCTATAGGTACCACAATGCACTATCTCACCACACTCCCCTCCCTCATACCGCAACCCCAGTAGTAACTCCCACCGGGCAGCGCAGGCTGTGCAGCAGCATCAGCAGCAGGTGCTTTATCAGCATTGTGGGCGACAGAGTTCTGGGCGCTGGCAGAGTTCTGGACGACGCCAGAGTTCTGGACGACGGAGGGCGGCGTCTGGGCGGGCGGGGCGTCCAGGATGTTGGTGGCCTCCTGGAAGACGGGCGTGGACCGGGCAGAGGCTGAGCCACCACCCAGCACCTTGACGTAGCTAGCAGGGAACCACCCCACCTGGCGCTTCTTGCCTTTTGCCTGGTAATTGTTATTTGTGTCATTTGGGGCGACATGTTTAGTGAAATATGTAGCCCACGCAAGTCTCTGCGATACGAGATAGCAAGACCACTTTAGTTCAGACCAACACGTGTACTGATGCCTGTAGCCCCAGGCATGTCTCAGCGATACGAGATAGCAAGACCACTATAGTTCAGACCAACACGTATACTGATGCCTGTAGCCCACGAATGTTTCCACTATATGAGACAGCAAGATCATTTTAAGTCAATCAAAAGCATCTGTCTAACACAATATAATCAAAGAAGAATACCTCAGGCTGCCTGCATATAGAAACACATTTCCAAAATTTTGCAAGTACTTTCCATCAATGTTAGGTTACGATTGCGTTTAATCCAGGACTGCACGTTTTGATAATTATGCAGCTTGACGAAGAGTTAACTGGTGATTATAATTGCTATATTATTCTAAATTATTGTACCTGTAGCTCGCCCTCCCACCAGCCTGAGGCGGTCTTCTTGCGGATCATAACGAGCTGTCCGCGCTGCAGGCTCAGCTGGTTGCTGGACGTAGCATCGTAGGGCGCCAGCACAGTTGCGATCTCTGGCTTCTTGCTGCCTTTGCCCTGCACACAAACATTACTTCATTACTAATAGATTATAGGTATAATTATATTATAGGTGCATTACTATAGGTATATATATATATACATAATCTAGATTACTACTAGATTATATACAGTGGGGGGAAATAAATATTCGTACACTTGAAAGATCGTATTTTAATGTATGTAAGTACACAAACTGAACAGGAGAAGTTATTTATATTATTTATAGAGGCGCATTGTATTCAAAAATAGCATCAATAGAAATTAAATCTCAATGCAACAAAAATTAATGCAACATGTTAACTTCTCACCCAGGTTCGTCCAGCCGTACTTATAGTACTTTAACGTGGACCCCAACAAAGGCTTGCAATGAAAGACACTTCAGAAACCACTCTCTTGAATAAGTAGTTCCGAAACTCTCCTAAAGAAAAAGAACAAAGCATAAATAAACTAAAGTAACAAATAAACGAACTAAAGAGAAAGTATGAACAAACCTTCTCATGAATAAACTAACCTAACTTTACAAAATATAACAGAATAAAGAACATCTCGGAATAACCACTAAATGTAAAACACAGAAACAAACAAATAACCAAGTTAAAATACACCTTGACACTGTGGGTTCAAATGCGGGACTGACTAGGACCGTAGGACGGACTATAACCTACCTACAAATCAAACTTCCGCATTTCTAAACTGAAAACAAAAATTGCAAAAATACAAAATTATAAAAATACAAAATTATGAAAATACTAAATTATAATTGCCTAAGTTAGTTAGTTAGTTTAGTGGCCAAATGTTTACTAGCGCTTCAGCTATTTAGCTATCTCGCACCGAAAATCAAGATGAACATCACCATAGAGGTGGAAGGTCTCAATTATTCATCACCCACAAGGGGCGGAAGGTCTCAATTGTCCAGCCCGCTGAACCTGGCTCGAAAGAAGCAGCGTTAGCATCTCAAAAGAGACGAAGTGACAAGGAGGGACAGGTGAAAAGCAACAGAAACGAAGACACTCGAACAAGATAATTGCCTAGCTAACAGCATAAATAAACAACCCTTCATTACGCCCTTATGTACCGTATTTCATTAACTGACATCAATTAATTACACCCATATGTGGATTATTGGAACATACCTCTTAAGACTTTCGGATCAAAAACAGTAACATAATTATCCCAATTATTTGATATATATTACATGAACCTGCTTAATTACTCCCAGATCGCATACGCCAAATCCAAATGATGGACATAAACCTAGAGATGAAAAATGAAGTTCAATAAGACGATAAAAAATTAATTAAAAATTTGTTTCCTCTTTGCATTGCAAAATTTTATAAATAAAAGAGATGGAGGAAAAATCCTATAAGTTTTTACAAATAATTTCTGACAATACTACATACTGTATTTTCTGAGAAAGTGACATATAAATTCTTTGCGTCTTAACATTTGTTAAATTTAGTTTGAATATTTCATCGAAGAACGCTTTTGACATCAGAATTTCAGCATCAAAATAAAAATTAGGAGCCTAGAGTATTATAGGCAAAAATTATAGAAAAATATAATATTTTTAAAAGCATCTAAAAATAAAAACTCGTATTAGGAGTACGTAGACTTGAGATAAGATTTAATGCATTCGTCCTCTACGAAGTGACAAATTTACTTTGATTCTACATAGTAACAAAGTCTACATCAGAAAGGATTAATATAGGTAGTGTTGATACAAAGGAAAACTACCAATAATAGTTAGGTATAATGTACATTCATTTTGAACTAGAAAAACGGTTACTAGTTAAACGTCAAGAGAAAAAATGATGAACCTGATAAATAAGAGGGTAAAATAGGTTATGTATGTTCCTGATACAACCGAGGGTAAAATAGGTTATGGATGAATCTGATAAAACAGAGGGTAAAATAGCCTATGGATGTACCTGATACAACTGAGGGTAAATAGGTTATGGATGTACTTGATAAAGTAGAGGGTAAATAGGTTATGTATGTTCCTGATAAAGAAGAGGGTAAATAGGTTATGTATGTTCCTGATAAAGAAGAGGGTAAAATAGGTTATGGATGTACCGGTACCACTAGGACTAAGAGAGGTAATAAATACCTGATACAAGTAAGGGTATATAATATAATTTCCAATCAATTACATGATCTAGAGGCTACTAATGCAGGGATATAGCAATTCGAGAGAGAGTAAAACAGGAGTATATATCAATCACGTGCACGAATAATGAAAACTTTCATAACTTACTTGATGAAGATAACAGCTACTTATAACTATACGATCCGAAATTGTTGAAGGTTTGTATTTGGAGAGGAATTCATCCAAGTAATAATTAAGGAGGAGTTGAGAAATTAATCTAAGTAATACAGAGGAATTGAGGACTTAAGAACTTTATCAGATAATAAATAAGTTAAGGTAATGGTCAAGTAATAAGTTAAGTAAATCACAGGACGTTCAACATAAGAATAAATGTTACACAAACAACTTGGGATTATGAACGTTAAAAAGAATAACTTACCCTGTTTTCTTCATCGTCCTGTAAATTAAACAGCGTTATGGTGATAAGAAGTTTAGATATAGTGCAATGGAATTTAATTTGGTAAATGCTCAGAGCAAATTATATATATAATAGACACCATGTAGTCCATATTATGCTTCCACAGCAGAACTATTTGCTGTTTTTAATTGAGTAATGGAATTTATGCGGAATTATTCCGCGTTCCTATAGTAAAAAAATGAAATTTGTGCCGAATTATCCCGCGTTCTTAATTGAAGAAATCAAATTTGTGCGGAATTATCCCGCGTTCTTAATTAAAAAATGAAATCTATGCAGAAGAAACGGTATTCAGGCGTTGCGAAATTGTTTTCTCAAAACTTCAGTTGATGCCCAATTCCCAGGTTCAATAAATGGTTTGACTGCTAATAACACGGCATTCCGTACTGGCAATATGACGAATAAAGATAAATAATGTTATGAAGGCATTATAAATTCAAAAATAAGAATTCAATGTTATTATTTACTTAAATTGCATTAATTTTTTATTAGTATTAAATGTTGTTCAATATTATTTTCATGGCTGACGTCAAGTTGGCTGTGCTTGCTTCACGAAGAGAAGCGAAACGAGTAATTATTTTGAAAGAAATTCAAGAACCTGAGATGAGCATCGGAAATTATCTCGATTAATTTGCTGGCGAAATCATAATATATTAATTGTAAGTTAGTAGAATTATACTTAAGCCAATATTTATTGACGAAGTGAAAGTAAAGTAAACGACGATTATTAATTCAGAAATTTGCTAAATTCAATATAGCACGTTATATTTATCTCAAAAACCAAAACCCCAAATTATATAAACGATGAAGAATTCAAAGGGCCTTGGATATTTAGGTCTGATGGTCAAGACAAAATATATCAAATGATGTGGATGATGAAGTATTTTTAAATGAGCAGAAACAGAAATTAAATAACAAAATATTACTATAAATAGATAATTGTTCGTCTAATTTTTGTCAAGTGAAAGTGAGTTGGTACTATACAACCTAACCTCCGATTCCTTTAGTTGCTTGCATTATAACAGCGTATCATTTAAGAATATACCATTGAGCTAATGGTACGGGCGCTAAATAAGTACTCGTAAATACACGAGTTTGATAAGAAATTACACCTTCACCAATCAGAAGTCAAAACACATTAAAAAGCGTTCCATAATTTATAATATTATTAAAATTTGAAATAATTAGATCTTTAATGTGATATTTTCTTCGTATGTACAGTAACACCCACCTCTCGCCTCATTGAAAAACCAATAAGAAAAATCTTCATAAAATGTATTCGCTGGTCTTCGGACGAACTTAATTTAATATGTACATAATTGGATATCCTTTACGTAAAATAATTATTGTATAGTATCTTAGTATGTTGAAATATTTCCATGTGAAACATTTTAAAAAATATGCAATGACATTCACAATTGGAAAGTGAACAAATGAATTGAATAACAGAGAAGGGCGTTTTTTAATACAGAAATTGCTCAATTGGCAGGTTTTTAGATACAAATATTTGAAAAATAGAACAATTGGTAGCAGAGTATAAGATAAGGTATAGGGGATACGAAGGTAAGTATATAGGGGATACGATTCAACGCTTTGAAACTTTGATACGTGAAACTCAGAAAGATTTTTGGGGAAAAAACTTCTGCAGTTGCTTACCGCGCTGAATAATGAGAGCTTCTGTGAAAAAATAATTGTTCAAATTATTCAGCAATTTTTCTACACAAAAATAAACGATGCCAAAAAATAGAATAAAATTCAAGGAACTGCGACACGCTTAAAATAAAATAAGCACGCTTCGTATGAACACTATTAATAATCTCTCAAAATATTGTACGATAATTTAGATTATCTTGATAGTGATTTTCAAAGGCGAAAACCATTGAAAAAATTGGCAAAAAAAAACTGTTCAAATCTGAAGAAATTAGAATGTTAAAGTTTTTTTTTCAGCCAAGAGATTCGATGCAAGCGATTTTGTCTATTCGTAACTTAAGAAGCAACACTCATTCATCTAGTCGCATCAATATCAAGAAGTTTCGTGAACCCGTTAAAATATAACTCCTATTAACTTATAACTTATCACTTGAATTAACTTATCATGAACATAAATTAACAATGATACATTAAACGAACATAAAATTCCGCCATTTGCTCGTGAAAATAAACTCTATATTTAAGCTAGGCATTAAATGAATTAATTAAAGCTAATCTAAATTATACATAATTAATCAGGAGGTATCATTCAAGTCACTATGAATAAAGCGAAACTTAACCTCAAAACCTATATTCCACTAGGAATATAGATCTAATTACTGACGAATTTCATTGTGTGATTAAGAATCCAAACACTAAATAAACTATTATATTCATTACTAGTTAACCATTTCTTAATTTCGAAGCGCGTGCCTCTGGAAATGCATGCATTAAAAACGTATGCAAAACAGTGAAGGCAATCGTGTCCATATTTGTAGGCACCAATAACAAAAAGTTAAAGAAGAAAAGTCGTTTTGAATTCTCTTACAAACGCACCATTTTTTCATCCTTTTATAAACTCGAAACTATTTACCCTCTGCAGCAAGTACAGCAGTTCAGTATTGTGGACACCATTATTTTCATACACGAACATATAATAATGAAATAAATCCTGAAATAGCCAGGATTAACGCTGCTGATACTCGACGCAGTTGACGTTAAATTTCAATAACAAAATCCTTGTATTAATAACGAATTAAACTTTAATATCAAAGCTTGTGGCAAGTCAATTAATAACTGTATCTCACAACAGAAGGTGATAAAAATATACAAAGTGTTCGAGTTAGTAAGCATCATAGAGATAGTCATTGTGAATTAATTCGGCAGATATATTTGCAAATCGAATATTTTATTAAAATAATTTCTTGGCGGAAACGAAATGATAGAAATTGAATTCGTGGCACAGAATGTAGCGAATTCAGCAAATCATTGATTAGTTAAAAATGAATGAGTATTACAGGGCATGTGTTACAGGCTATAATGATAGGTGATGAACCACATGAGATGTTCAAAATAATGATAAATAAAGTAGGTTTATATATAAATAGTTAGTGATAAATAAGGCAGGCATAAGAGAAGAAGATGCCCACCTTCTCAGAGAAGAGGCTGGAAGAAGAGTGGGACCGACGAGAGCGCTTCTGTGAGAGGGCAGCGGGATACGAGAGAACAGAGTGGGGTTAGTAGAGAGGGAGGGGGTGAGAGGGTGTGAGTGGAAGAAAGTGAGTGGGATAGTGTGAGCGTGAGTAGGAGAGTGTAAGTGGGATAAATGAGTGGAAGTTGTGACAGGGAGGGTGTGAGAGAGGGAGAGGGAGAGTGTGAGAGGGAGAGTGTGAGAGTAGAGTGTGAGTGGTAGAGTGTGAGTGGTAGAGTGTGAGTGGGAGAGTGTGAGTGGTAGAGTGTGAGGGTAGAGTGTGAGTGGGAGAGTGTGAGTGGTAGATGGTGAGTGGTAGAGTGTGAGTGAGAGAGTGTGAGTGGTAGAGTGTGAGTGGGAGAGTGTGAGTAAGAGAGTGTGAGTGGTAGATGGTGAGTGGTAGAGTGTGAGTGAGAGAGTGTGAGTGGGAGAGTGTGAGTAAGAGAGTGTGAGTGGATGGAGTGAGAGGGAGAGGGAGTGATTGGGAGGGTGAGTGGAATGAGTGAAAAAGTCGATATGTTTGGTGTGATTGGTGAATTCGGGGAATGTGAGTGATGGGTTTAGAAATATTAGCTAAATGTTTACATAGGATAGCACAATTAGAAAATTTTCGAGGAACATTGAATTTGCAAAAGTTGTAGAAGATTTGGGGAGAAAACTGTAGACTCAATGAATAGGATCGTTTGTGAAAAAGTAATGACATTCAAGGAAATAATAACAATATTAGCCTAAGGGACTTAGAAATAAGTCTTTAAAGGATTGAAACGTCTTCACTCGATTGGAAAATGAATAAGTAAGGATGAATAATTCAAAGAAGTGTACAAGTTAGCGTAACGAACATGAATAGTAATTGTCCTGGTTAAATTCAGTAAAGACAAACGAGACGACTAGTAAGTCAGTCAAAAACATTCACAAACTGAAAGCAGGTTTTAATTCAGTCGAATACGGCAGATTAGAACAAGAATCTAATGAAACTAGAAAGAGAGAAAAGAAGAATAGCAATGAAGAGAAAATAATCCCACGAATCATTGCAGTCATGATAATAAATATGTAAATTAGTCGTTAATGAATACAAAAGTGTATCAAGTTATATGAATACTACCAAAGTTCAAAAATGACATTGTACCGAGATGAAGCGTTAAAAGTGATTGCGATCAAGGTCAATGATTCCACAACTACAGTCAAAGTCAAAATCCAGCAAAAATTATCGAAATCCAACTCTCATGATTCGCATTCTACATGAATTTGTATGAATATGATACCAAGCAGCAGAAGAGATTATTTTAAAACACAAAGCTTGAGATAAGTAAATACGGGAATGCCGATATCCCCAAACTTTCAATTCTCATCCATTATTTTCAACTCCCGCAGCGCGATAACAGATTACGATCAATCGATTCGACTCGCTGGTATTAGTAGGCAGCGACAGGGGCAATAACGATTCTTTATGGATAAAATTCAGCTTAATACTATTAACCAGGGTGATAATTGATCAGGGTGATAATTGACCAGGGTGATAATTGATCAGGGTAATAAGTACTCATGATAATAATTGTTCAGGGTAATAATCAATCATGATAATAATTAATCGGTCAGGATAATGCTTGATCAGCAAGTTAATTGCATGGTACCTGCAGTGTCATAAATAATATTAATCAGGATAATTAATAAGGAAGTTAATTGATTGCAAGGCACCTGCAGAAGAAAGAACTGACTAAGCAATAAAAAATACCTGAGATTCTTGCCGAGTTGACTTGGCCATTGTAGCGGCGACTTCAGCAGCTGCCTCGGCATCTGATGCCGCCTCAGCATCTGAGACTACTGCAGCTGCTGCAGGTGTTGCAGGTGTTGCAGGTGCTACAGGTGCTACAGGTGCAGGTTTAGGAGCATCAGGTTCCTTAACATCTGCAGGCTCGAGGTTCGCAGTGCCGAGGAGCTAGGAGATGACGGCGACGTAAAAAAAAAAATTTTTGTTTTGCACTAGCTATAGATTACTTCAAAATATTTCATTTCTGTGATGAATATAGCTAAATTTCTATTCGATGGTAATTGATAATAAGTAACAACAATTCTTCAATTGTTGTTACTTATTATTACAAACTTCACTGACATTGCAGATCAACACAACTATAAGTACAACTATAAGTACAACTATAAGTACAACTATAAGTACAACTATAAGTACCTAATATGCGAGCACAACGCTAAGCAATATCACACAGGTGCGCATATAAGCGGTGTAATATTGTACATATAATGTACAATATTATTATTATAATGTACAATATATAATGTACATTATTGTACAATATATAATGTACAATACTAAAATATCTCAGTTCGCTTCTCGAACAAAACATTAAATATACAAGACAGCAATATGTACGAATAATCTAAGACAAATAAATTTATTGTCGATATACCAATTTTTATAACAGGTGGTGGCTAAGGTGATGTACCTAGTGGTGACTCTAGTGATGTACCTAGTGGTGACTCTAGTGATGTACCTGGTGGTGACTCTTCGTAAGTTCATCAGCCAATCATTGACGGCCTTTCAAGCAAAATCCACCTATCACAGACAAGAAAATAGAGCGTAAGTACTTACGTTCACTTAGCGAGTATTGAAAGTATGACCCCTGAACAGTTATAACCTGTCACCGTGATGATAGTTTAAGCATTTTACATATTCAAAGAAGTTTCATCGTGTATTAGTAGTCAGGTTGTCGAGTGAAAAATTCTTGGCGTGTCGACGGGAAATAAGGTAGAAATTTCTACTCGATATCGAATAGTATCGAGTAGCAATAACAAAGGCATTGAAGCTTGACAGCGGAGTGCTCTATGTTACTAGACCTTTAGAGCTGACATTACACTCCCCTACAATACACCACTTCCTCGACTAGTTCATTACATGCCCCAACACTTCCTCGACTTTTCAACTAAATGCTTCCCCTACTCCCTTCCTACACATTCCCCCAATTAATGCAAATCCCTACACCACAATGCAAAACCCTATACCACACTCCCCTCCCTCATACCGCAACCCCAGTAGTAACTCTCACCGGGCAGCGCAGGCTGTGCAGCAGCATCAGCAGCAGGTGCTTTATCAGCATTGTGGGCGACAGAGTTCTGGGCGCTGGCAGAGTTCTGGACGACGCCAGAGTTCTGGACGACGGAGGGCGGCGTCTGGGCGGGCGGGGCGTCCAGGATGTTGGTGGCCTCCTGGAAGACGGGCGTGGACCGGGCAGAGGCTGAGCCACCACCCAGCACCTTGACGTAGCTAGCAGGGAACCACCCCACCTGGCGCTTCTTGCCTTTTGCCTGGTAATTGTTATTTGTGTCATTTGGGGCGACATGTTTAGTGAAATATGTAGCCCACGCAAGTCTCTGCGATACGAGATAGCAAGACCACTTTAGTTCAGACCAACACGTGTACTGATGCCTGTAGCCCCAGGCATGTCTCAGCGATACGAGATAGCAAGACCNGGTGAGGTCCAGGGCGGCGTAGTTAGAGGGGAACCAGCCCCCCTGGTCCCCACACTCCCCGTACGTCCAGTCGCACTAAAATACCAAGTAAAATCCCTCCATTAACAAAAATAAATCAAATCGATTAATAAAAATTAGATAAACCATATATACGAATTAAAATTGAACAATCCAAATCTATGAATTAATGATAATGAATTAGATAGATGCGCTATTGAAAATAAATCAAATCGATGAATTAAAATTGAACAACCTAAATCTATGAATTAATGATAATAAATTACCCTAGCTAGATAGATACATTATTGAAAATAAATCAAATCGATGAAATAAATTCAAATAAATCAAATCGATAAATTAATGACAATGAATTTAATAGATGAATTAATGGAAATAAATTAATGAATATAAATTGCTGAAAATAATCAATAAAAATATATCGAATGGTTAGGCAGCAATTAAAATGCAATACCTACTAGGTTAGCATAAACCTTTTTCTCGCACAGATAAACGAAATGAAATCAATTACCACCGGGCAAAATCCTGGATAAATATTAACAATCAGTGCTTGCAGGTTAACATTAATAAATCGATCAACTAAATAATCGAAGACAAAATTGTTTTCGGCAAAAACCATAGATTAGAAGAGGCATGATCAAAGGCCAAGAATCTCAATGCAGAAAAAATGTCTATCATTAACATAAAAGTAGGCCTAGAAGAAATAGGCATAAAAATATGAGTTTAAATAGAAAAAGATCCACTCTTAAATCGCTAGAGCTGCTCTTTACAAACGAATACAAGACTGTGCTGTATTAACGAGTAACTGTGTATTAATTAATGAGTATTAACTGTGCTGTATTAATGAGTTTCAGCTCACCATCACCATCATCATATCTCTTACAAATCACAAGCGTTTCCATATGGATATATTACACGCTCCCTGAGCATCACTCACGGCTCCCTGAGCATCACTCACGGCTCCTGATTTTATTTCAAGAATTTAAAGTAATTCTCCTCAATTATTCAAAAGTAGGAAACAGACATTTTGATATTATCGACCCTCATTGTCTCTAAAAATTTATGTATCCGACGCTTTTTTCTGTAGAAAAAATCATTTGCAGCTATCTGGATAATTCTTTGAATGATTTTTTATCTATCTTTCTATTTTATCTATCTATCTATCTTATCTATATATTTTATCTAATTTCTCTATCTGGATAATTCTTTGTCACGGCAGGATTCATTATCAGAATAATTAATTAGTTCCCGCTTTAAGATTCATTAACGGAATTATCAATCATTAACTGCCAGAGGATTCTTAGTGAGAATTATTGACTTATCGCCGCGAAAGTATTCATTATAAACATAGATCAATAAAAGTTAGATTAATATAACTTATTAAATGCATTAATACAACTTATTATTAAAATAATAAAACTTAGATTAAAACCTACAACTTGTTAAATTCATTAATACAACTTATTTTTAAAATAATAAAACTTAGATTAATACAACTTATTAAATGCATAAATACAACTTATTATTAAAATAATAAAAGTTAGATTAATAAAACTTATTGAATGCATTAATACAACTTATTATACAAATAATAAAACTAATAGATTAATACAACTTATTAAATGCATTATTACAACTTATTATTAAAATAATAAAACTTAGATTAATACAACTTATTAAATGCTTTAACACAACTTATTATTAAAATAATAAAACTAATAGAATAATATAAATCTTAAAAAGCAGTCATAAAAAGCATGCATTAATACAACTTATTATAAAAATAAGAAAACTAATAGATTAATAAAACGAATTAAATGCAGCACCTGGTTTCGTTTGCTGGTGAAGCGCGCGTAGAGCTCCTTGCCGCGCTCAACGCTCTCCTTGAGCTCCTCCTTTTATTGTATTTAAATCTTTAGTATTGTATTTAAATCATTAATAATGTATTCAAATATTTTCTATTGTATTTAAATCTTTAGTATTGTATTTAAATCATTAATAATGTATTTAAATATTTTTTATTGTATTTAAATCTTTAATATTGAATTCAAATCAATAATATTGTATTCAAATAATTATTATTGTATTTAAATCATTAATATTTTATTAAAATAATTATTATTGTATTTAAGTCATTAATATTGTATTTATATCATTAACATTGTATTAATATTAGCGACATACCGGCAGCAGGAGGCTGGGGCTCAGGCTCAGGCTCCCCCCACGCAGCGTCAGGGTTCACAAGCTTCTCCCTCAATGACAAGACCTGCCCCGGTAATGATAATGATGTGATCAGTTATTATGCTGGAAAATTAATAAAAACCTGCTGTATTACCTAGTTTACATAGTGTGTTTTATGACGCTTAATGATGGCGTTTATGGTGCGTGTTTTATATGGCGTGTTTTATGATGTCTCTTAAGTTAGCAGCGCTTCTCTTTAAGAACATTGAATACTATTATTCTAATTTCGTATCTTATCTGACATGATCTTGTGAAAAAAATGTTTTGATATGCACCAAGATTTTATTTCAAGAATTTAAAGTAATTCTCCTCATATCAGAAGAACAGACATACAAATATCAGAAGAACAGACGTACAAATATCAGAAGAACAGACGTACAAATATCTTAAGAACAGACGTACAAATATCTTAGAAACAGACATACAAATATCTTAGGAACAGACATACAAATATCTTAAGAACAACGTACAAATATCATCAGAACAGACGTACAACAGAAGTAACGTACAAGTATCATAAGAATAGACGTACAAATATCATCAGAACAGACGTACAAATATCAGAAGAACAGACGTACAAATCTTAAGAACAGACGTACAAATCTTAAGAACAGACGTACAAATATCAGAAGAACAGACGTACAAATTTCTTAAGAAAAAACGTACAAATATCATAAGAACAGACGTACAAATTTCTTAAGAACAGACGTTCAAATATCAGATGAACAGACGTAGAAATATCATAAGAACAGACGTAAAAATATCAGAAGAACAGACGTACAAATATCAGAAGAACAGGCGTACAAATTTCTTAAGAGCAGACGCACAAATATCAGAAGAGCAGACGTACAAATTTCTTGAGAACAGACGTGGGTACAAATTCCTTAAGAACAACGTACAAATATCAGAAGAACAGACGTACAAATATCAGAAGAACAGACGTACCGGTTAAAATATCAGAAGAACAGACGTAGAAATATCATAAAAAGAGACGTAGAAATATGAAAATAAAACAAAATTACTAGTCACCTCGTAAGCGAAGTTGCTGACGTAGAACTCTGATGGCTCGTCGTGGGCTAAGTTAGACGGGAAGACACCATGGTTGTCACCACACACGCCGGTCCACCAGTCACCATCACGCTGCACCACCAGCACCACCTCACCAGCGCCGAAAATAAGGTCGCCGGGCTCGGTTGACTGCACAGACACGATAAGATATAAGATAAATACCTATATATACTCATAAGAAACGATGAGAATTAAGATATATAGTACTGTATGTATACTTTTAAGAATTTTACACTAAGTCACGCTGCCGCGTCGCTAAAAAAATGCGAAAATATTCCCATAAAAAAATCTTACCCCAAACGGCAAACATCTTTCCCTAAAACTCAAACATCTTACCCTAAACGGTGAAAATCTTACCCTAAATGGCGTAAATCTAACCCTAGGCCTCCTATGTCCGATCTGGGAGAACTCGGCTGTCTTAAGAGCAGACGTAAAAATATCAGAAGAACAGACGCACAAATATCAGAAGAACAGACGTACAAATATCAGAAGAACAGACGTAAAAATATCAGAAGAACAGACGTACAAATATCACAAGAACAGACGTACAAATATCAGAAGAACAGACTTAAAAATATCAGAAGAACAGACGTACAAATATCTTAAGAACAGACGTACAAATTTCTCAAGAGCAGACGTACAAATTTCTTAAGAACAACGTACAAATATCAGAAGAACAGACGTACAAATATCAGAAGAACAGACGTACAAATATCAGAAGAACAGACGTACAAATATCAGAAGAACAGACGTACAAATATCAGAAGAACAGACGTACAAATATCAGAAGAACAGACGTACAAATATCAGAAGAACAGACGTACAAATATCAGAAGAACAGACGTACAAATATCAGAAGAACAGACGTACAAATATCAGAAGAACAGACGTACNGGGAGGAGGGGGTGGGTAGGTGGTGGCGGGGGGGACGGTGGGGTTGGTGGTGTCCAGGGCGGCGTAGTTAGAGGGGAACCAGCCCCCCTGGTCCCCACACTCCCCGTACGTCCAGTCGCACTAAAATACAACATTAAATTCATCCATTAACAAAAATGAATCAAATCGACAGATAAGTACTAATAAATAAATCAAATCGAATAAAGTAAGTCAAAACGATAAATTAAAATGGAATAAACCAAATTGATAAATTAAAATGAAATGAATCAAATCAATGTTTTAAAATGAAATAAATCAAATCGATAAATTAAAATAAAATAAATCAAATCGATAAATTAAAATGAAATAAATCAAATTTATAAATTAAAATGAAATAAATCAAATTGATAAATTAAAATGAAATGAATCAAATTGATAAATTAATGAGGATATATAAAATAGATAGGTACATTATTGAAAATGAATCAAATCAATGAATTAAAATTAGATAAATCAAATCGATAAGCAGCAATTAAAATACAAAGTAGGTTAGAATTAACCATTTTCTCGCGTAGTAAAGTTTTGAGCTAAGCAGCCCGAATAAAATTAATATTAGGTGCATCTTATAGAATACGTATAGATTATCATTGGGCATTCTCATCACTGATAAACAAGATGAAATCGATAACCTCTCAGAAAAATCCTGGATAAATATAAATAATCGGTGCTTCTTGGTTAACATTAAGAATTCGATAATCCTAGACAAAATTGTTTTCGGTGAAAATCATAGATTAGAAAAGGCGCGATCAACGGCCAAGAATCTCAATGCAGAAGAGACGGCCTATTAAAAGATAAAGATAGGCCTAGAAGAAATAGGCATAAAAATATATGTTTAAGAAGAAAAGAACAACTCCAAAGTTGTTCTTTTCAAAGTTGTTCTTTTTTTCAGAGAAAAGAACAACTCCAACAACGTTTCAAAGTTACAAACTAATACAAGAACTGTGCTGTAAAAATGAGTTTCAGCACCCATCATGTTATGTACGTATCTCGTACAAACCACGAGCATCTCCATATAGATATGTTACGCGCTCCCTGAGCATCACTCACGGCTCGCTCCATAAGCATCACTCACGGCTCTCTCCCTGCATGAGCATCACTCACGGCTCGCTCCCTGAGCATAACTCACGGCTCGCTCCCTGAGCATAACTCACGGCTCCCTGAGCATCACTCACGGCTCGCTCCCTGAGCATAACTCACGGCTCCCTGAGCATAACTCACGGCTCGCTCCCTGAGCATAACTCACGGCTCCCTGAGCATAACTCACGGCTCGCTCCCTGAGCATAACTCACGGCTCCCTGAGCATAACTCACGGCTCGCTCCCTGAGCATAACTCACGGCTCTCTCCCTGCATGAGCATCACTCACGGCTCGCTCCCTGAGCATAACTCACGGCTCGCTCCCTG